TTTATTTGTATACATGCATTCTTATATAGTTATAATTTATAAGTGTGTATATATAGAAGGTATATATGTATTTAGTTATACATCATATGTGTATTTAATTTTATTTTATAATAATTTATATATTTCAGTAACTACATTAACTATAGTTAAATATGTAAAAATAGTTATACAACCTTATACACAATTGCAGTTATACATGTGTACACACACATATAAAAACCTAAATACTACATACAGATTGATAGAAGGATAGACAGACAGACTTTGTAAAGTAACTGGGAAACAGAAAATGACCAGTATATTTGAGCTAATATAATCATGGCAATCCCTGTGCTAAGCACTTTCCAGTGCCGTCTCACTTAATACTTACAATAACCCAGTGAGGTAGGAATTAGTGTCACCATATTTCAGAAAAGAAAATTGAAACTGAGATCTAAGAGAATGAGGAACTTGGATGAGGTCACTAAGATACTGAGTGGCACAGCTCTCAACTCAGTTATTTATTACAACACAATCCTGTCTCCCAGTACTGTTAGAGATTATTAAAAATTGTGTTGCTACTCTCTCTCTATGCCAGTGAAAGCACTTAAAATATTTAATGTGACAGGATGGCTAAATCCATTAGAAGAATAATCAAGAGGCTGTAACTGCCCTTTATAAAAGCATCTACGTGGAGCCAGCTGACAGCATTTGCACCATGGCCCCACCCAGACAAGCCACTTAACTCTCTATGACTGCATTACCTCATGTTTAAAATGGAAACGACGCGAGTATCTACTCAAAGGTTGGGGACAATTAAATGAATTCATATATGTAGTGTTTACAGTAGTACCTGGCTACAGGGCAAATGCAGTCAAAGTGTTAGCTATTAATATTTTTTTCTTTCAAAATTTAATTAACTTTACCATCTCCATTTTACTGGAAATATTATTTGCTACATTAGGTTTTCCTCAAACTGTCTGTCATTTTTCATATCATACCTGTTTCACACAAAATCTATTTTTATAATGGACATCTGTTAACGCTTTTGTGTTTGTTTTTAGCCTAACATCTTTTCCCTGCAGGAACTTCCCCTCTCCCACTCCAAAGGCCTCATCGGTGGGTGGGGAACCTATGGCCTTCTGATTTCAAAACTGTTCTTTTTTAAGCACCAAAGGAGGCAAGAAAAGCATCGTCTTTCTCTGCTACACCCCTTTTAATAAAAGGATTTGTTCTGCAAAATTTGGATTCAGTCAAAATGCCGCACTTAAGGACCTATAAGGCCACATTTCACCTTAAGGTTGCAGGTTCCCCACCCCCATCAGGCTCTTGGGGTGATTGCTTGATTGTTCCCACGGTATTACAGGATGTAAACATGGCCAATCAGTGCCCCTTTCAAAGACTCTACAGCTACTGTGAGAGGACCCCTCCTCCATTCTGAATCATGCACAATAAGCAGCACATAAGCCTGGAGCTGCTGGGAGATCACTTTTTACCACATGAAGAGTCGGCCTGAGAAGGAAGTCATCCTAAAGTAAAAGGGAGCTGAGAAATGGAGAAACAACACTTGATCTTTAAGATCCAGCTGAATCTGAGGTTTACTTTTTGTACTTCTTAGTTCTGTGAGTCAATATGTTATCCTGTTTGCCTAAGTTAGTTAGAGATAGGTTCCTATTATTTAAACACAAGAATCCTGATTAATTCACTGATATTAATAAATTATTAGTAAGCATACCTCCAGAATGCCAGTATTCATTATATTATCCTAGCAAGAATAATTAACGAGTATACAGTATTTCTAGAGGTTCCTAAATATCAAACAGTAAGAAATAAGCATCTTTGGGAATACAACAATGTATAGTGTAAAGAATGGAGACAAATAAATGATTTCAAGTCCAAGCCCTTGATTTCAAGGTCATTGTGTGACTTTAGGCAAGACACTAACCTAAGCAAATGACTCATCAGAGGATTGTTGTGAGGATCAAGTAGCACAATGACTACTCAAGTACCCCAATATATAACTATTATATTGTATCAAGTCCATATCTATACTAACAGAAATAATACATGATAAAGGAATTTTTCATTCTGACACATCTATGGCATGTTATAAAGACCTCACAGTATTTACTTTTGCTTTTTCATGCCAAGAAAAAAATACAACAAGCAATATGTCCAAAGAACACTGGGGAAACATGCACATAATTTCTGAAATTATGCAATCAATATTGGTTATTAGACAGGGAAAATGCTTAGCTTGGTGTTCTGCTGTCCTTATTCTAATGCAAATCTTTGGCTCGACCCACACTTGACTTTATAGATGTCTCTCACATCATTTATCTCATTCAGTCCTTGTTACAACTTTGCTATGTGGACAGGAATCATTACCACATGTTACAGATGAGGAAGTGAAGCCCAAGGAAGCTAAGTGATGACTAATTAGAATAGAAGAGAGGACTATAGCTCAAACTGCTTGACCATTGACCATGATCTTTGACTTCAGCATCATGGAGGTGCCTAGATTTTTATTTCCCTATATCTGGATTCTTGGTGTTGCTGGTGTGGTATAAAGTATCTTGAGACTAAAAACTGATGTAACATCAGTTGTGACCTTTTGCCAGATAATAGTTTTGCTTGTGTATTTGTCAGATCTTACATGCTTAAAATTATTTGGCAATAATTCCATTATAACTTCTAATGAGGGAATTCTTTGTTCTCAGCAAGATAATGGGATAGAACCTGAGCCAGTAACTGCTTTTGTAACACCTCATCTGGTATTATGATATACTTTAACTAACTTTTTTCTATATTCAAGCGTGAGTTCTGTTCACATACCAGCAGTTAGAAAACTCATTTGCCATCCAGAACTTCAGCTAGCAAACACTGTAATTCCTGTGTCTTAAAGGCAAGGATATGCCAGAAGGAGGTACTAGGAGAGAGGCTAGTTAATTCCCAAACTGATACTTAGTCATTTGAAAAAGTGAGGTTCTATCTTCTACCCAAGCTTCCACCATTTTGTCTCAGTGGTAGGAAATTTTTAGTGCTTAGGCATTCCTATAGCCAAGTAAAATGCATAATTCCTATTCAAATATAAATATCTTTTGAATTATCCTGTGTAATTCCTTCTTGCTGAAATGCTATAGCTCTTCCTTCCCATTTTTCAGTGACTGGCTTAAGTTCTGTCTCCACCAAAAATACAATTCTGACTAGTCAAGTCCACAGTGATTTCCCCTCCTCTGAACTTGGAGACCCTGGTTTTATACCTAGCTAACAATTCAAGGAAATTAATCATTATTTTTCCAAATTTCTATAACTCACCTCCCCAACTAGTTGTCAAGGTCCTTGAAGCATATTATGTCCTGTCCTCTGCTTTCATATTACCTGTGATGTATATGTATTGTGATTGCCCAACAACTGTTTCTTTAGCCTTTGATATCTATGCTTCTGGTCTTTGTTACCAGTAATAATTAAAGGTTTGCAATCTATAGCTGTTTATTTCTGGCCTAAATAGGTTATATCTAAATAGGTTATAGCCACGCAGCTGGGCAAATTTCCCTAATAGCAGAGAAGGCATCATTTGTTCCACTACTCTCCTCCACCCAAAATAAATAAAAGCAATAAGATTATTTCCCCAATGCCCTATTCCTGTATAACAGGAAAGTGACTGGCTTCAGTGATATTCCAGATTTGTGGTCTGGTAACAGAATCAAGTTATTTTACTGAATTTCTGGATAAGAAATATCAATCATAATGGTTAACTCTTGAGAGGTAATGTTTCCTAACAATGCTACTGGTCCCAAGGTTATTTGATAATTCTCTCTTTTCTGTCTCCTGGAAAAGAAAAATAATTACATTTTATTTTTTGTCTTTTTCGAATTATCATAAATATTTAATTATTCCTTTGGCACACCTGATAGTTCTTTTGTAGGCCACAGGTTCCTTTAAGACATATCCATCTAGCTATGATTTACAACTAATTAGAGGATGTCAAATGTTGTTGCTAATGGTAACTTACATCTCTGATAATGCATAGCTCTTGCCATTTAATACGAATGGCAATAACAGGTGTCAAATAAGAGATGTTTATCTACAAATGGATTAGCTTTTTTAAGTGGTGAAAATATGAAGAAACAGAATGAACTTAGAACTAGACATTGTGTGTAAACTAGAAAAGAAGTAGGACTCGTGGTGAAAGGATGTATGCTCGGACTGAGTATGGATTCTGGCCCTGTCACTTAACTAGTTTCGTGATTTTGACTGGTGGTGTCACTTATGCTTGGGTTTGTCACTTGAAATATAGTTATAATAGTAAAACCTATCTTATGGAATTTTTATGAGAATTAGATAAACTCCAAAGTATATTCACTGAGGAACTCCTTTCTTTTAAGAGAATGGAAATATTTATTAAGAAGAATATAACTCTAAACAAAATTGCCAAGGTAATCTCTCTTAAACAACTCATCAGAGATATTAATACATATAGGCATTATATATAAGGATATTCTAATACTACACAAATAGAAACAACATACAAATTTCAGGGAAATGGCCAAATAAAATATTATATATACTTTAATATCACACAGAGGAAATCAATAGACAAAGAACTTGGCATACTAATATATGTAATATGATAATTAAAATATCAGTGTCATAAAGCTCTTGTGTTAATAATAGTTGAACAGTGTTTAACACAGAACCAGGCGCACGGTAATTAAGCCCTTACTAAAGATTCATTATTACCATTATATCAATGTGTAAATATTTATGAGTTCTAAGGAAATACACCACAATATGACCAACTCATTTCTGATTGTTTCATTTACCTCTTAATATAATTTCCCAATGTCCCCATTTCTCTATTATGTGTATATATCCCATCTCAATCAATTTGTGCCTCTGTGCCTCCATTTTGGTGGGCACTTTACAATGAGCATTTATCAATTTAATAATTTGCAATTAAATTAATAGCGTAACACTTAAGGATTAAACCATTATCATTTTTGAATGGAAGATATTACCTTCATGAGAGATCTCCTTCCAGGGATTGGGTGGATACATGAAAGCTGCATTCTGGATTTGGTCGTGTATGTCTTCATCTTCGTTAAATGGGAACGTGCCGCTTAGGCTTACGTAGATGATGACCCCAACAGACCACATGTCTAGAGAGCGATTATAGCCCTTGTTCCTTAGAACCTCAGGAGCCAGGTAAGCGGGGGTGCCCACCACCGACCTCCGGAAAGACTTCTCTCCAATGATCCGGGCAAAACCAAAATCACAGAGTTTCACCTGTTGACAGTAAGGATTTGTAGAAATAGTAAGTTCTTAGTTCATGTCTACCTCAGACAATCACAATGCTTTACATAAAATGGTATGGATTTCTCATGATAGAAGTAATAGCTATTTTCTATTTTATGTACTTGAAGACAGTGGTTTATGTACTGATACAAAGTTTGTTTTCATTCATAAAAATATCATCTAAACTCCCTTTTCCTCCCCCCAAAATCAAGAGACAAATGTAAAAATAAGTAAAATAAATTACTTAGAAGTAGGTAATATTGTTTATGAGGCAGGAAAACATTAAGCAAATCAGGGAAGAGAGTGATGAAGAACAAGTACAGAGATGTGTCAATGTCATTCACAATAATCCTCAAAATCAGCTCCGTACTGGCACATAAGCAGAACCTGAAGGTGTCGGGGAAGCAAGGCAGGACAGCCAACGTGATCAGTTCACTTCAAAACTATAATACCCTGGGGAGAGATCTGGTTGTTTTCCACCCTCTGAGTTGAGGAGAGGAAGAAAGTTTTGCCCTTGTCCTTGAAATCAACAGTGAAGTTGAATGTCATGACCAACACTAGAGAGCCGGTAGCATCTCTGAAACTCTTAAGTGCTGTTACTCTCAGGCCAGTGATTCCAACACTGGCCTAGGGCTGCCAGGTCTAAAGAAGCCAAAAAGCCCAATGAGAATGGACGTTTGTGTACAACGAGGTCAGGCTGAACTGAGAAGCCAGAGTGACAAAGCCACAGTCCTGAAAATATAAGACGGTAAGAAACGGATGAAAACAAGTAGGAAAACCTTGAAACAAATGAAGGTTTGAAGGGAAAAAGGGAAGGTGACAGGACGCTGCATGGGAGCCAGTGATGCCGTCAGCTGGCTTTTTGCTGAAAGAGGCTTTTATACTTGCCTGAGGAAAAGGATCAGCTGATGCTAGCAACACGTTTTCTGGTTTGAGGTCACAGTGAACGATATTTTTAAAATGAAGATGCCGCAAAGCCACAAGTATCTATAAAGAAGAAAATCACCCAAATAATTTCATTTCAGTCTATTAGTTTATTTCTAAATGTTTTATACCAGGACATAAATTTAAAAGGCCAAGAGTAAACCCACAAGGAATAGTCAAGTTTCTTAAGTTTAAGACACTGAAATAAGCTAACTTAACGTAGCAGGCTTTGAAAGAAACTTCAATGGAAAAAGTAGCATATTATGGTATTCATACAGGAACCAAGACAGGTGTAGACAAGGGACCTACAATATCTAACATGGATACCCATTCTTAAATATTTTCAAAGAACCAGGACTAAACCAAATGTACATTTTAAAATTTCATGAATAGTTTTAATACATGAGCCTGCAAACCAGTTACTAGTTTGGTATACTGGACTCTGAATAACATAGACATAAATCAGAAAATTCAATGAGCCACTGCCACCTTTTCTAGTATAGTTTAGACGGGAAGCAGGGACTAAACAACAAGGGTAGAAAGCTGTATTAAACAGTGATAACATTTGATATTAAATATTATCTTTTTTATGTCTCTAATTGATTTCTTACCTGAGTAATTAAAAACTTCGTTATGTGCTCTGGCAACCTGCCCTTTTCACTTGACAAGATCATCTCCAGCATGTCTCCATGGAGTTTTTCCATAACAACAAACACTCTTTCAGGCGTCTCAAACATACACTCCAAATTTACAACACCAGGGTGATGAAGGTTCTATTAAAGATAAATAAAGCACTTGAAGAAAATGAGTTTTTTGATACTGTTTGGCAAGCTTGCTGATTATAAAAAACTGTTCAAGCTTAAAGCTATAGAGAAACCCACATTTAAGATTTTTAACACCTCTACATTCCACATGTGCTGCCTTATATTTTTGAAATTCTAATGTCTCCAAAAAATACATCTTTACTTTCTATGCATAGTGAAATTATTTCTATGCTAAAAATTCAAGTTACAGCACAGTGAATTGCTAATCGGGTCTTAATTAGATTACCATATTAAGAAATTTGTAATTTCTTAGGATCATCCCCAATATTAAACATACTGCCCTAAATAAGCATACTAGGCTATTTCTACACAGTTGGTGGAAATCTAACGTAGTAAAGATAAAATTCATACATGTAGTATACCTGACTACACTGAAGAAGCACCTTAGTCAAAACATTTTAGAACTGCTCTGCTACTACAAGCTGCAGTAGTTTGTTCAGAAGCTCTTAACACTAGTGAATATCATCATGAAAACAGCAAAAAAGAATCATTGAGCCCCTGTTTTGTCCAGGACACCATGCTACATGGTCATCCTGCATGGTTCTCAAGCACTCAATAAATACAGCTGGCCCTTGAACAACATGGGTTTGAACTGTGTGGGTCCACCTACATGTGGATTTTTTTTCAATAAATGCAGTTGGCCATTAGTACTGGCATCCTCAACCCAACGCAAACAGAAAATAACAGTATTTGTGAGATGTGAAAACCCGAGGACAATGAAGGCCAACTTTTCGTAAATGTTGTTTCTGCAGGGCCAGCTGTGGGACTTGAGCAGCATGCAAGGATTTTGGTATTTGTGGGGGTCCTGGAACCAATCCCCCATGGATACCAAGGGACTGCTGTATTTCCACAATAAAGTAATGGCTAGTAATGGTAGGCTGCATTGTGCTTGATATGTTAATTATCACAAATTTCAAATAAAATTACTCTTAGCACTAGATGGTCCCTTGTAATAATCCTAAATCTAAGTGTTTTTCTGGGTCATCAACAAAAGTCTTTGATCATTTGACCTTTTTTTTTCTCTGTACAACAACAAAAAATCCTAACATTAGAAAAATAGTTATATATTCCACTTACATTTCAATGAGAAACAGAAAAAAAAAATCATTGTGAACAAAAACTACCTAAACGAGAAAAGCAAGGACAAACTTTAATGTGCTAACAGTTGAATAGAGAAAAAAAAATTTAATTTTTTTTTTTTATTTTAGAAAAGAAATCTCAGTGAGTGATAAAACTGTCTGTAAATTGAAATTTAAAACCTGAAATGGCTCACTATGCATCAGCTTCACAGATGGATGCTGGGTGGTGAGCAGCAGAAGGGGTTGTGAATGAATCCACACTGTTGTAGTTATCCTCTGCACTACCCATTTGCAAGGACAGCCTGGCATGAACTGATACAGAGCCATGTTACAGTTGGCAATAGCTCCCATGATACCGTCTCTTAGAGTGTCTGCTCACTACTTCGTCCATTTGGATCTCTGACTCAGATATCTGATGGGTCTCTTTCATTCTGATGACATGGGGCCCCATCATGCAGTGTTATGTGGTCATGGAATAGCAAGTTTATGAATGTGATCTGAGCAGATGCCTCCACATCCACCCAATAGCTCTTCACCTCTAGACGGCTAGAGTCATCTTTCCTGAAACTGTTGCACTGTTGTTAACTGGTCAAGTCTGGCTACTTCAGACAGACTTGGCCTCCAGAGTTATTCTCTCTTGGTCAGATCTGAAGAACATGGAGAGAGGGTAGGGTTAACAAAGCTCACACTATCACTACTCTTATTTTATTTGTCATGACCAGATAGCCAGTTGGCTTTGACTGTTACATTATGGAGTGCCAGATCCTTAGGTGGGAGACTAATATGACTACATATACCTGTTCATACCTGAACTTGTGCCACAGGCTGTCTCATTTTTTTTTTTAATATATATCCCTTTACCTGATAGGGGAATCACACTGACTGGACATACCACTGGCCTCTGGGTGTCCAAAGATCTCAGTTGTCCTCTTTCAAATCAATAATCATAGCAGAAGCTTTAGGGATTAAGTGAGAGTGTTCTGCTGGAGCTCTGATTCTCCTGAGACAATTCTGCTATGAGATATGCTAAGTGCACCTTCCTCTTTGAGCATCTTCTTAACCGATTCTTTTTTTCCATTTAATCTAACTTTAGTTACCTGAATAGTGTTCTGGGGAGTTTGGCCTCCTTAAATGGCCAAGACATGGTTGTCTGGAAGGGGAGCAAAAACAGCGAACAGGAGAGGAATAGATCAACAGAAGTAGAGCAAGGTTAGGGGGTCCCCTTTACATAGGCAGAAGGAAAATTAGTGTGAAGGATGAGCTAAAGATTGAGAATGACCCTGGGAGCCCAGGGAGGGCAGGGGAGGACAGGTGTGGTGTTGTTTAGCTGCTGCTTCTGCTGACCTCATCTCAGTCCCTGCAGGTGGGAGGAATGGGGAGAATCCACAGATGATCAGGAAGCTTTCCTACCTAAATTATCCGTATATATATGCAATGTCAGTTCTCACATGCCTCTACCTGTATTCCTCTAGGTACATGAGTTCTTAGAGTTACTAAAGTCCTTCACTCAATATATTCCTTTTTACTTTTCCCTACTCCACAGTAGGTCTTGAGGAGCCCCTATACAAAAGGCAGAACTTTAATATTTGTTTATCTAATTGGTGTATTCCCAGAATTTTCTAGGCCAAAAGTATGGGGCAGATTAATGAGAGTGTTCACCATCAACTATTTTGTGCCATGTTCATTGTAAGTTCTGAAGGACTCTACAAATGTCCTCTAACAGCATCTTTACGAAAAGGCTAAGGGAAATTTTTGGTAATTCACAGTAAATGACTTTGTGTATGGTTGGGATGTGAATTTTTAAAAAAATACATGTTCAATAAAAGCATCGGACTTAAGGCCAAGTATAAACAACTGATATAAGATGTTTTAGAAAAGTTTAAACTCATACATTCTTTGCACTTGCCCTTGCTCTTTATGAAAATCTTTATGTTTTATAATTTTCCTACATTGACTGACAGCTACTAAATTTTATATGCTTGAGACAAGGCCATCATAGATGCTTACTCATGAGCTGTATTTTTTGCATTGAACCAAATGACCAAACTTGTTTTTACATTTGACAATAACAAAAGAAAATAAAACAGAATGTAGAGACTCATGCCTTATTTATCCAAACTCCTTATACTATACTGATGAGAAGTATGTCTTTAGCCTAGAGAATATATTTAAAGAATGGAAATTTAAAAAAAAGTTCAAGCTATTATTTTTCTATTTTCATGTATAATGTAACTTATATGATCATTTTAATACCTTAAGAACATCTTTAAGATTAGTATCAACCAAGGTGGT